TCAGCCTCCCAAGTAGCTGGGACTACAGGTGTGCACCACCAAGCCCGGCTAATTTTTTTTCTGTTTTTAGTTGCTCAGCTAATTTTTTTTCTATTTTTAGTAGAGATGGGGTCTTGCTCTTGCTCAGGCTTGTCACGAACTCATGACCTTGAGCGCTCCTCCTACCTTGGCCTCCCAGAGTACTAGGATTACAGGCGTGAGCCACCTCGCCTGTCCTCTACAAAAATTTTCAAAATTAGCCAGGCATGGTGGTGCACACCTATAGTCCCAACTACTCAGGAGGCTGAGGCAGAAGGAGCGCTTGAGCCCAGGAGTTTGAGGTTACGGTGAGCTATGACGTGGCACTGCACCCAGCCTGGGCAAGAAAACAAAAACCCGGCCCCCCGGAAAAAAAAAAAGGAAAGAAAGAAACGTAATGATTCCAAGTAAGGTAGAGGATCCTGGAGCCTTGCAAGCTAGGTTTAAATTTCTTCTCTACCACATTTTAGCTATGTGGTCTTGGGGATGTCACATTACCTCTCTGAGCCTCAATTTCTTTGTTACATGCGGCAACGATAACCTCTATCTTTGTCAGTTCTCAGGGTATTCACTGAGTGAACACAACCTGCCTGGCACACAGTGGACACTCAGTAAATGGGAGCAGAGGTGACTTTACTGGGCACGAACACTCCCAAAGGCCCAGAGGGCTGCAAGGGACCCAGGCAGGATGCCACATGGTTTTTTTGGTAAGATTTGCAGAAGTAAGATGTTACATTAAAAGAGTCCTCTCCAATTATACATGCTTCAGTCCCCAAACCTGAATCTAGGTGGCAGCCTAGCAGAAATCGGCCTAGCCTAGCAGATTTCTGCTAGGAGCGCTCCTTGAGCCACTGGGGGTCCCAACATTCCAAAGCCTGGCTCTGAACCCTGGGCCTCAGAGCTGGAGGAAGGTGGCCAGGGGAAGGAGCTGGGGCTGAGGAGACAGCCACTTACTCCTCCCGGTGGGTCCGGCAGTGCTGGATGTCGCGCTCTGTCAGGATGGCCCTCTTCACAAACACTGCCAAGGCGCTCCAGCTGGCCAGGATGATGGCCAGTTCCAGAAGGTTCCACTTGCTGCGGAAGTAGCCCCACTTCTGCCTCCTCATGAGCTTGCCCTGAAAAAGAAGACCAAGGATGTAGCCACGTCTGTCCGCTTCCCTGCGGCCGCTCCCTCACCGCCCAGGAGGACCCTCTGGCAGGGCCTTACGGACCATGGAGGGGCTTCCCAAGCCCTGGCCCCACAGGCACAGGTAGAGTGTGTGGGAGACTGTCCCCAGCCTTGTGCACAGACCCATCTGCACCCATCACTAACCCCGGCTGCGGGACTTGTAAGAGTAAATACGATCACCTAATTCTCTCTGATCACCTAATTCTCTCTGGTGCATAAAAAGGGGGTAAGGGGAGAGACTTCCCCCAACCCCTCCTTTTTCGTAGAGCATTTACATTAGAAAATGTGCCATTGTCAATTCTTTCTCCGTCCCTTTGAGATGTAGGCAAATCTTCTTAAAAGGTAAACAAGGGCTCTTGCCAGTTTTGCAGCACAGGAACGTCTTTCTGGAGGACCTGGGGGCCATCTCTTGGCAGTGTAACTGTCAAGGACGAGAGCGCCCCATCTCCCAGTTTCCCCATGAGGGTAGGAGCAGTAACTTCCGCAGACACCTGGCTTTAAGTTGCAAGACTACCTCCTGTCATAACAATAGAAGTTTATTTTTCCTTTTGATAAAGGCAATTAACAAACACAGGTGGCCACCCAATTACTTAGGATGGACTAAGGTGACAAATGGTGTAGCCAAGTCTTCTTACCTGAGGATTCCTTATCATATATCCTGAGAACATGCATGTAACGTGTTGTGTCTTCCTGGCTATATTAAAGGGTGAGATTTCTTCCTGTCTTTGCAATCTCTTTATCGGATTGCGTGTGATGCACATCACACTCTGCTGTGAAGCTTATTCAGCGACGAAAGTTGTTTTCTTAAGGAGGAACGGAGTGTTATTGTTTAAGGGGTGCAGTTTCACTTTTGCAAGATGAAAAGAAAGGTTCTTTCTTTCTTTTCTACTCTTTGGAGAGGTTTTCTGGATTGGCAGGAGACTTTGTTTTTAATTCTACTTCCCCAGCAGGTGTCACAGGTCAAAAAGGATTGTCCTGTGCATGTTCCCACCCTCCCTACCTCCCCTTGTCTTCTATTCCACTCAAGAGAATCGCTCCTTATTCCATTCCCCTCATCCTACCCTCTCTTAAGGAGGAAGGACTTGTGTTTGGTGAGAGGCTAAGTTCGCCTCCCTAATAAAGGGATGGAGAGAGGGGAAGATTTTTTAAACTGCTCAAGCAGTATTGTGAGGCGGATTTCTGGGGTTTGGAAACTGACTTTGCAAAGCAGCTGCAGGCAGAGTGTGGAGGTGGGGGGTGCACTGGTCTCCTCTGAGGTTCTTAGAGAAATGCAAACTTCGGTTGGTGATGGGACTTGCATCGGCGGTGCCCACAGCCCATGTGGGCTCCTGCTTTATGAACCTGATGGTGTGGCCCAAGCCTGGAGTGTGAAGGTCAGGGGTCAGGCTCTCTGGGTTCAAATTCTGACCTTGGATCAATTACTTAATGTCTCTGGACTTACGATTCTTACACTGCGAATTGGAGCCAATAGGACCTTTCTTCTGTTGTTAAAGGAGAGAAGCCACACAGTCAGCACTCAAAAATATCGTCCTTGCTTTAAATAGGTTGCTGGAGTGAGGGATGGATGGCCAAGGTCCCCGTTTAAGGCATCTGGTTTGCATTTTTGGTGGGAGGGGACAGGGGGCCACATAACCAGGTTCAGGTGCGCTCCCAGCATCTTCCAGCCTTCAGTGTTACCAACACCTGCACCTGCGTGGTGCAACGTGACCAGAAAGGTGGCAAAGGGGATGTTGCCTAATTCCCAGGGATCATGGGCGAAAACAAAAGATGCTAAGAGAGCCCCCACAATCTCAGTCCAGAGGGCCCCCAGCTGTGGGGACAGCCACCCCTCCCTCTTCCATCCCCCGACTCTGGCTTTTTGGAAGATCTAGGTTCAACGGAAACAGGACCAATGATCCTCCCCATCCCCACCCAGGAAGGACCACCCTCTGAGTCCTCAACTCCTGAGAAGTGCCTGCCTTGGGTCCTTCCCATGCCCGAGGCTGCAGACAGCAGCCCAGATTAACCCTGGAAACCAACAGGACCAAAGGTCGCCAGGGAAAACGCCTAAGGTAAAGCCTTTTCCCTCCCTTCCCCAGACCCCATCCCATGGAAGAGGAAAGGGGTGAGAGAGGTGCCAGGCACACCCCCACCTCCAGCCCTGCCCGTGGAGCCACGAGCACACCTCTTACCTGCACCACCATGTAGTACAGGAGGAACACGAAGTAAATGAGCTCTGCCGCCACCACAAAGGGGTGCCAGCCGTTGGTGAAGGGGTACAGGCGGAGGGTCTGCAGGGCTGCGTGCGCAAAGAAGGTGCCTGGGAAACAAAGTGCATTCTGCTCATCCCTGGCCACCTGCCCGCTCAGAGCAGTGGCTTCTGCCTAGAGGCCATCAGGTGGGATGTCTCACGCTCAGGACCTTCTGAGGGCTCGTGGGGCAGAGGAGGTGACAGTCCTTCAGACCCAAAGACTTGGGGTGGTGGATGCCAAAGACAGTGGACACACCAGAAGGAACAGAGGACACTGCAGTGGAAGGTCCACCCCTACTCTCTGCATTGGGTGTCACCATTTGGGCACACATTCACAGCACCCAGTTAATGACAAGTCACTCCACTTGGCTCATTTAAAGCCATTTCATCTAAAGACACTTCACTGAAGATCAGTTCACCTTTTGTCTCAGTTGTGTGTGTGTGTGTGTGTGTGTGTGTGTGTGTTGGATTATGATATAAGATGTACTTTGTACTGTGGATTGATGTCTAAGTTGGAAAATATTATTTGAGGTGATGTTACCTGTTACCAGGTTACTCTCTCTCTCCCCAGCCCTCACTGCCAGCTCCCTGACCCCGCCCAGTAGAGTGGGAAGCTCAGGAATAGGCCATGGATAAGTGGCTTTCAGACCCCAGCTGGGCTCCTTTAGGAAAATTTGGGAGTCAAGGCCAGACAGAAGTGGGAAATTAGGCTGGAGAAGCCCTCATGTGTTGCCTTTGGGGGCCCAGGGATCCACAGCTGCAGGAGAACCAAGACCTGCCCCCAAATTTCCCAAACAACAATTTGCCCCGGAGCTCCGGCCCTGGGGTGACCACCCCACTGGGTCAGGAGCCCTCGCCCAGGGGAAGGGGTGTCCATCTTCTGGGATGCTGCAGGGGGGTCCTGGGCGCGGCTGCCCACCCAGAGCACTTGTCTCCAGCGTCAGTGTGACGATGCAGAACAGGTTGACGTTGGCATTGTAGACAGTGAACTCCACAAACACAGCTCTGGTCAGGGTGTCCAGCCAGGTGTTGTCAAAGAGATACCGGAGAACTCTGTGGGGAAGAACGGCATTTGGGGCATCTCCTCCCTGCGGAGGCTCCCGGTCCCCTCCGCCTCTTGATGAGGCTGGGGCTTCCTGTCTGAACTTCTCACTCTGCTTCCACTCTGCTCCCTGGGCCACTGGGCCACTGGGCACTGGGGCTGCCACTGGGAGTGGTCACAATTTTCAGGCCGTGGTGAGGCTCTCAAAGTGTGGTCCCCAGACCAGCAATATCGGCATCATCTGGGAAGTGCAGATTCTCGGGCCCATCCCAGACCTCTGAGTCCGAAGCTCTGGGGTGGAGCCCGGGATGGGAGCTTTGATGCGCCCCGCCCCCGGCACTTCTGATGCTTTTTAAAGCTTGAGAGCCCTGGTGTTAGAGGAAGCACGTGAAACATCAGGAGTTAGGCAGGCAGCAGCTTCGGCCGTGGAGGTCCCACCTGGGCAGGCAGTCCCTGTGACACCAGTTTCTGGGGCTCTGTTAGCCTGGTGTGGTGGGAAGAGCATGTGCCCAGAGGTGGTAGAGGCACCTGGGTTCAAATCCCGGATGCCTCTTGGGCAAGCTAATAACTTGTGCAGGCCTCGGTTTCTTCACCTATGAAGGTGTTAACATGAGCACTTCCAGATCATTGTGAGCAGAGAAAATGGAACAGTTTGTGTGTATGTGTGTTGTGGGTGGGAGGAGGGGGAATTACTATTCCAGTAACATTGTGCCCCCAGTGTGTCTGCATCCTGCTTGGTACACAGAAGCAGAGGGAGAGGATATCATCAGTCCTTCCAAGCAGCAGGAAAAACATCTCTCCTGAAACAGACTTATTCCTGGCCTGTCCTTAACCCCAGAAGACCCATTACTGTGTCTGCAGGCAGGATACACGCTCGGCTGTCACAAACAACCCGGGTGCTACAAGCATACAGTGGAGGCAACTGACGTTCACACAGGTCCACTAGTTTTCCTGGGCTACACAGCTAGAAGGAGCAGTGCCAGCGTTCCACATCCAGGGCTCTCTGCCTCTAGGGCGTGTTGAGTCAGTCTGCATGGGCCCTAAGCGTCACTGCACGTTCTTACTGGGCTTTCTAGTACCACCCTGGCTGGGCTTTTCCCAGGCCATTTCTCAGGGCTGTGTTTGCAGGAGCAACCTCGAGGGATGAGGAGATGTCTTCCTTTGAGAGAGCAGGCTTGGTTTTGTTGCTATAAAAGCAGTGAATGCCCCAAGCTCAGTGTTTTGACACATGCAGGCATGGCCCTTTGCAGCAATTCACTCAAACCAATGTGATGTTCTGTTGCTGCTTTTGCTGTAACAAAATCTGACCCGGGAGTCTTGTGTCTTCTGCCAACATCCATGAAATAGTAACAGACTAGCTTGTTGGCTTACAAGTAGGGTAAAACCTCACACTTTGCATAATTCTCGACAGAGCATTAACCACTTTCTTCTTGTCTAACAGGGGACTGCATTGTGTGGTAGTGAGCTCCCCATCTCTGGACTGGCTCTAGCAGAGGCAACCAGGCTGAGAATGCTGGAGATAGACTTCCCTTCCAACTCAGAGAATGGTACAGTTTCCAGGGGCCTGAAAATATGACCTGAATGATTCTGAATCCCCCAGCCCCTCCTACCAGGACATGAATGAACTTGGCTTAGCTTTGTTTTGAAGGCTGCATCCCCCAGTGAGACGTGGACTCTAGCAAAAGGCTTTACTCAGCTGCAGAGGAATCAAGTCAGCCTTACCTTAATGCACTTTGGCGATCAGTCCCCAAGGGGACCACGTAGCCTCCTCCCCGGTACACAGTGAGTTTGCCCCAGATGGGATACCCTCGACGTTGGCTCTGGCTCTGGTATTGCCAAGCCCGGGGAAAGCCATTGCTGCTATTGAGGGCGGAGGCATTCCAGCCTTCCCCATAGTCTGCCAGGTCTTCAACATCCAGGGAATATGGCGCACGGCATCCATCAAGAGAAGCCTGCAACTGCCGGGCAAGAGGGCAAGAGCTTTGCTGGACCCTCACTTGACGAATCTGGGCGCTGCCAACCAGCTTGGAGTTCCCGTCGGTGACAAAGCCTGAAGATGAAAACCAGGTGGGTAAATCTAGCACGTCCCATCAGCTCTACTTCTTCCACGTTTCATGCGCCATCCCCTTCTCTCCCTCAGCACTGTCCCTTGTCACTATACAGCCCCTCCAGGTCTCCCCAGCATCCTAACTTGGCCACGCTCTGCTGCAACTTCCCCGTGCTTCCAGAACGATCCTTCTTACGCCGCATGAGATCTATGCTAATTGCTCGTGGAGAAACCTTCAATGGTGCCTCCTTTCCTTGAAGATAAAACAGGCACTTCCGAGGTCCCTCATGATCTGGCCCCTGTTTATCTCCCCTGCTTTGCTTCTCACTGCTCCCTAGCCTAAATTCTACATGGCAGCCACACTCGCTCCCTGTAGTTCCAGGAATGTGCCACGGTGTCAGGCTGGGCTTTCCTCAGTTGCTCCTTCTGCCCAGCACATTGTTTTTGCCTGGCTGATCCATGCTCAGTTATCTCTCATTTGCAAAGCTCTCCACTCTCCATGGGAGGGAAGAGAGGGAGGGGGAGGGGAAGAGGAGGAGGAGGGGAGGGGGAGGGGACCTCCCTGTGTGTGCACAGCCTTCTGAGGGTCTCTCCTTCAAAGCGTGGGGTCCTGCAGTGGTTTGTTTTCTCATGAGGCTGAGGTTGACATCAACCACATAATGTTGCCTTTATGTTGCCCCACACCTGTCCCTCAGCAGGAGCATGTGCAACGAGGCCGGCACACAGTCCCAGGGCCAGGGTACTGTACCTGGGAGAGGGCTGTACAGGTTGCTCACGAGGGTGGTGTTGGCCCATTCAAAGAACTCTTGGAAGCTCAGCACGGCTGAAAAGCCTCTGGTGAAGCTGCGCTCGAGGTGCCTGTTGAAGTGGTAGGTACTGGGGTCCCTCTGCCCGTAGGCCGCCAGCAGCAGCATCCACAGGAAGCCCAGGTACGCTGGGGAGGCAGGCACAGCCCCCGTCAGGCAGGGCCCCCGACTTCCACCCAGTCCGGGACAGGAAACGCAACGGCGCTTGGGCTCAGGACAGTCGAGGCCGCGTAGACCAACCCCTGGCCCCTCTGGTGACAATGGAACCAATGCTTATGGAGGCAGCAGAGAGGCATAAAGTCACAGACCACAGGGCGTCCTGCTCAGGTGCAAATCCTGGCTCTGCCCCTTCCTATCCAAGTGCCCTCTGCAAATGCCTGCAACCCTCTGAGCCTCACTCTCCTCACCTGTGAAAAGGCAGCAGCAACTCTGTGACATGGGCTTGTGACGAGGGGATTAGTTAACATCCGCTTTATAAGCACTTACAACAGTGCCTGCACAGCGCATGTGCCATGTAAGTTTCTTAGGTAGAATTTTTAAAAATGGGGCATTTGCCTTGTTACATCGCTGAAGATGCCGTAGTGAAGCAGACATGTTTCCTGCCCCTGTGGTGCTCACCTGTCCTGCTGGACACAGGTGAGTGTGACGGAAGGGCCTAGCAGGTGCAAAGATTTAGGTTATGAGGCTGGACACCACAAATCACATGGGGGATGCAGGTTCCTGCTGAACCAGAACCTCTGGGCCCAGGGCCTGGGAATCTGCGTTCCAAGAGCCCCTCCCCCAGAGGCCTTGTATGGATGCCAAGGAGCAGGACAACTCGGGGGTGTGTACGACATGCGCTCCCGCGGTCCCCGTTGCCCACCTGGAACCCACCTGTCACACACCTTGTACTGGTTCCCTTCCCCCCAGCGCGGCCCAGGATCACCTCCCAAATCAGCTGCCTGCACCCAGATCTGCTGCTGGGAGACCCAGACTCAGACACACACCTGAGTCTGCAAGTTTCTGGGCAGAAGGCCAGGGGAGGCCTCTCTGAAGACACCGTGTTTGGGCTGAGATTTAAAAAATAAGAGGAATTAGCCAGAAGAGGAGGTGGGGAGAGGGGTGAGCACACCC